CATTCAAAACTCATAGTTATTTGTTTCAAAGAGAGGCCCCCTTGCCAAGGAAAGCAAAAGGTCTCAGACTAGGGACAGTATTTCTATAGCTCCCAAATCTTCCAGTTCTGTCTAATCGCCGGGACGTCGGCGGAGCCAAAGAGGGAGTTTGTAATAATATTAAACTACGGTAGACTCACTCTAGCAAAGAGGGTGCCTTGTGGTAAGTTTCCAGAGGAAAACATCAACAAAAGCCAGGTGATAAGTTGTATCAGACGTCTGCTCTTTGAATCTTAAAATTATATGTTATGTTCGTGTGCAACTTAAACTCTGTAATAAATTATTGTTGCTCAATAAAAGACTCTTTTATCACCCCTCCAACATCATCCCTTCTATTAATAAACAAATCATTCTTCTTATGCTATGAATAACATAATTTCTTTACTAAAAGAGTTAGAGTTCAAAAATAAAAAATAAAATATTCTCTCTAAATATGAAGGTTTGGAAAGAAATTCGTGTTTGTGTACGTTACGTTCATGATTGTGAAATTCTACAAAAGCGCAAATGACTTTTTGGATGCAATTATAGCTATCATCCTTTTGGTATATGAATAATATTTTTAATCACGTGTGTGTCCACATTAAGTAGTTCACACATTATTGACCTTAACTGACAGCCAGATTCTTTCGGAGTAACTGGAAACAACACTAAGACCGATCACATCTAGACAACTGAAACAAAAGGTATAAAAGTGAATTTATCCTGGAATTCTATTCCTTTTAAGGTTAACGTGGCTTCATAAAGGTGAAAAAAGTGTTTTCATGGAATGCATTAGGTACCTTAATATGTCTCAGAATGCTTTTCAATGCTACGTAAAGTAATAATACACAATTCTCTAATAAGCGAAGATTAAAGGTTTTAGCTTAGTACGTGCTGCTGATCATCTATACTCATTCGAGCAAAGAATGTGCAATATATCGCAGTTTTTGTACATCTACACACACCTTGCGGCTTTAAATATCTCTGTCTAAACATAAATTATAAGGTTATTTGTTCTACTCTGTCTCCTATCACATGCTGTTTCACAATTAAGCAATTTATTTTTATCCAATCTTCTTTCTCACATTGAGCCCACCTGCTGCTGAGCGGTAAAGTCGCTAAACACAGATAATTCGGTGCAAGGTTCGAATCCTGACAACAGGCTGGCTGCATGGGCGCTTTCGTGGTTTTCCCCATGTGTAATGTGTATACAAGCCAGTTTCTCTTAGAACGTCCTCTACGTTGATATCCCTCTCCTTTAGGCAGATAACCCTCGAGGCTTTGCCGTAATCACATAAACTAACCCCAAAACAAAACATTCTAGCATTGAGCTCACTTGTAATCGAGCAAATCTCCAAAGCTGTCATTTTAGCACAGTTGTAAATATTTGAGTTAAAAATTTTGAATGATTCTTGCTATTGTCTAAATTGCATTTATATAATATTTAAAGACCTTTTTATTCGTTCCTCAGGAAACTAAAACATACAAAGTAGAACATTTTAAAAATAAATAATAACAAGTTTAAACCATTTAACAATTACGCGTTGTTTCACGCAGCTGAAAAATTAACTCTACTGAATATGCTAAACGTTAAACATCAGGCTAGTTAAAAATAACTTCACTTTTCTTCTGTTTTCACACTGGATGCTCAAGTCTCGCCACCGTTGATTAATTAGACGTCATAAGTGACATGGAGGGTAAAATAGCATTATTCTGTTTCAAAACGTTTTGGTTCTACGTATGGGTAAATCTGGAAAATCCCAAGTTTTCAGTTTAATTTTTACACTCGAAAAATTATGATTTATTATGCAAACTTCTTGAAAAATGTAGCTCCAAGAATAAATAGCATCTTCTGGTCATTTCTTGCAAGCAGAAAATTAGCATACATATTGCTCAAGAATTAAATTGCACATGCTTTCTTGTCACGAATAAAAACAAATTTTATGGTACAATGAATACGAACAGCAAAGGAGAAATTTATTTGTTCAGGAAATCACGGATCAAAATATCGACAGCTCTAATTTGTTATTTCCCAAGTGGAATTTCTTTTTTCTCCGCTCCTTCGCTTTCTTTTAATGGCTTGCCGTTTATTAACAGTCGTTATTTTTTATTTTCGGCTTATATAGGCATTAGTTTAACGCACAACAGCATTAGATGAAATTTAGTACAAGAAATAACAATTGTTTGAATGTTAGGCATTAGTTTAACGCATAACAGCATTAGACGAAATTTAGTACAAGAAATAACAATTGTTTGAATGCAAAACAGTTCTGAAAAATAACTGTCTAAAGGAAAATATACATTAAAAATTTTATGTTTTTTTAAAAATATCACGGAGTAGATGTTGAAGAACACTGACTTTACACATGCGTTCATTTTAGAGATAGAAAATGTTAATACCATTCATGCGAAATTTATTTCCTTCTTAGCTTAATTGTCATCATTAAAATAAGACTGAATGGGGTATGAAAAAAAAGTCTGAGATTGAAATTCATTTATTTTAGGGAAAAGTTAAAGTTTACTACATTGTTACAAAATCCTACACCTTATGCGACGAGCTCGTTTTCTGAGTACATTTCTAGAAAAATCTTGTATGTTTAGCATCTTTGTGCATAATTGTTTATATGAATTATACATAACCTATCCTCATGATTTCGTATACCTTAGTCAATAGCCTGATTATGAACGTTTACAACCTCTACGTAGGAAGAGTACACAACAGTTACGATATACTGTGTTGAAAAAAAGGGGGAAAATCCCATTAAAGACATAGGTGAACACCAGCGTAGAACCACATTATACTATTCAAAAACTGTTATTGATAGATAGAAGATAATATTCAAAGAAATTTAGAACGCAAAATAAATATATTTTATTGAACGTCCATGAAATATTCCCAGATTTTTTGTTCATTTATGAACGACGTAAATTTTACCACAAAATGTTTGCATGTAATAATACATAAACAATACTGTTACGAGTATTATGTAACAGTCTACAGACACTTTTAACCAACTGTCTCTAAAAGTTTAGTCTTTTTTTCTAACCTCTATTATTTGCAATCTATGTGCGTAATCAATAAATATATTAGATTTAATTATCAACATAAAATCACACATATTCATCAATACTTATCAGTTAGGCGGATTACTTTTTAACAAAGCTCTATCAGATAAGAAATATGCTTAAAAAATACGAGATGTGATCTCAGAATCTATGAAACATAGATTTAAACATTTATAGGTTGGGTTAGGTTATTTAATTACGACAAAGTCTCGAGGGCTATCTGCCTAAGGGAAGGGATAGCCTTCGTGGAGGACTTTCTAATAGAAACTGGCTCGTATACACGTTACACATGGGGAAAAATACGAAAACACCCATGCAACCAGCCCGCGGGATTCGAACCTCGCACCGAACTACCAGTGTTCAGCGACTTTACCGCTCGGCCGCTGGTGGGCACTTTAAACATTTATAAAAAAATATTTATAAACATTTAAGAATTAGATATTTATAAAGACAATGTCTAATAATCAAGATAATATCTAACAATCTAGAACATTTATAAAATTAAGTTGTTGAGTGTAATGAAGTTGTTGAGTGTAATTTACGAAAATGAACTGCAGGGAAAGTATCAGGGAAAAACCTTAACCAAAGTTCACAGAAAAAAATAGCTTTCATGTATCTTAAAAACAAGTTCAGTTTGAATTCTATTTCGAATATTTGATTTAAAAAAATCTACAACAAAAATTAAGAAAGGAAATGAAAAGATGAGAACGGCGTAGGAGGTGGATCGCCAAAGCCAAGTTCCAAGCGCCTAATGGTTAAGTTCAGAACCCGTGAAACATCTTCCAGCAGTAACGGAAAAGGTAAGCATCAGTACTGACCACTGAATATCAGTGAACGAATATGAATAAAAATATATAATTTATAACGTGGTAGATATTCTAACAGGAATTAAAAGTTATTAAATAATTTTAGCATGAGTCAAAAAATTGATTTTTGAAGTTACTTGAGTTAACTTCCTCAAGCAATTCGGTAGATGTGAGACTGATCTTCAGAAATGAGAATGAACTTGTTTGCATTCCTTTTTTGATTACATTAAAAAGACGAATTATCATCTAATAATTTCTGTAAATAAAATGTTCTCATTATTTTAAAGGAATTATTTTCTATAGAGTTGCCAAACATTTAAATATAGCATATATTAAATTATAATAATCTTTGCTTCATAGGATATTTCTGCAGACTTCAGGCAATATCAGTATTAACTTAAGTCTGGAAATTTATTTCTCTGTCTGAATTGGGCTTTTGTAACTTAGAACAATGACGAAAATTCATTGGATGATTTCCAAAGCAGTTTACATTCTTAACTTTCTTTTGAGAAGTTACTAGTAATTGTCGTGTGATTTGAAGCCCAATTTAAACACCTCGGCTCGAATAGATGATAACTAAATATATAGTACTTTCAGTGTGTACAACAAGGATTGAATTTTTAAAAAAATATTTAATTTAAAAATTGGCTATTCGTAATCAGAATAACATCAGAAAGGGTGTTAAATGGCTTCTACAATTAGCGAATATTCTAGATAAATTACTTTGTAATATGTAATGACGTGTAATGAGCTTTCTACATGCACAATATGCCGTTTAGAGTGCTGCTCTGACTGTAATCGTTAACTGAAAATGTTACAGCTCTCTCTCTGGAAGAGAATATGAAACGGATACTTATTGCTTTTTCCCAAATCCTTTTCACTGAGATTCACTTTTATGTAAACCTCAGAATTTGGTCATCATATACATGCACTTCCATTAAAAAAAATGCATAAATTTATGTAATAAGAATAATAAATTTAGCACAAATAATTTTAAAACTATTTTTACTTGTACTTTTATTATTTTAAGCAATCTTTCCGCCACTTTAAATGAATTAGATTTGAAATTCTGACAAAACTTAAACAACAGTTTTCAACAAATTAAAAAACAAAAATGTCTTACAACTTTAGAGATAATAATTTGCCCTACCTCTCCATATTGACTTGCAGAGTGTCCAAACTGTGAATACAGAACTGTCACTTGCATGGGTGACCAACATATGACAAAGCCACATAGCACTACACAAACCATTTTTATCACCTGAAAGAATAAGAAAAAAACATAAATGGCGCTAGGAATATTTTTGTAACAACTATTTTACAGTACTACGTATCTGTGCCAGCAATGAATAAATTCAATTTAATAACATATAAAATACGAAAACATCAACTCGTAACAACATCATGAGCTGAAATTGTATGGAATAAATTAGATCGCCTAAATATGCATTCTATAGAAGACAACACAAAATGTAATTTGTTCTGGTTCGTACTTAAATTCCGATACTGCAGTACAAAATATTCAGAGGATCTTTGAAAACAGGAGCCGTTCCAACTTTCAGGCTATGAAGCGTTTAGTTTTATAAACAAAAAATTAGATTCTTAAATCCTGAATTATATTTTACAAATATTGCGTTACGTCACCCTACAGCGACAACTCGCTGTCAAAACTTTGCACATTCGCAAGAGATGTAAATAAATAAGAAAGAAGTAAGATAAGTAATGAATTTTAAATACTTTTACTTTTAACATAGTTAAATGGAAATTTCTAAAAAATAATTTGCAAATGATTTCTAAAGCGAAAAATCTTTTGGTTGAATTGACTGTGCACTGTGTGCACTGTAGCTGTGCGCATCGTTCACAGAGCGAGTTTATTTATGCACTGTTCTTCCTTTCGTCAGGCTTCAGTCTATCAGAATGATCTCTATTAGAATGAATAGGAATACTATTAGACTATACTATGCCATAAATATTTGAAATAAATGGGAATGGATCACATAGACCTGAGGCATTTGTTTCAATTGTAAATTAAATTTAATTGTATATTTGTAGAGTTATTATGTTTATAGATGAAAGAAATGTGAAAAATATGTAATGCCTTTACTGAACTTCCTTTTGAAAGCGTGCTTAGAAGAAGACTTTTTACGTGCGAAATTGTCGGAAAGTCTTTCGTTGTAGGAGATGCGGCAGCTTTGTAAAAAAAAGCTTGACTTAGAGTATGTCGCCAATTATTGTTTAAATAGTCCTTGGATTTTAAGGCAAACAAAAGCTGAGAAAAACGTATTGTTTCCTTGAGATTAGTTTTGTCAGTGTGTGAAATTATTCGGAGAATTCCCAAGGCGAACGAGGTGAGAAAATATCCTACTTGCATATTCTTGGGGCGATTCTTGGAAAAATTCGTGCGGCCCCTAATTTTAATTGCAACGTGGTTAAAATTGGCCCCAAAATATTGTTGCAGATGGTGCATGACCAATTAAGATACAGTGCGGAGTGATTGCGTCAGAAGATGGCTTTAATGAATGATTAAGTCTGGAGTTAAATAAGATAGTTTTGTAGAAAAAAAGAGTTGGATGAGGAGTATTGCGAAAATTAAGAAGAAGGAAGAAAAGAGAGAGAGAATGAGTATGATAATTAATAAGAGGGTGTTACTTTTATTTATTTATTTATTGAGAGGGAGAATTTTATCTCCCAATTTCTCAATTTTATTGAAGATCTCCTCATCTCCCAATTTTATTGAAGATGAGCTACAAAGACAGAGCAATAAAGGTTTCTACACTACAGTGATGAAGTGGCCCAGTTTTACAGACATTTAAGAAATGGCTGAGCGATAAATATTTCTGTCTTATATGGAAGTAGTATTCCAGGTGTACAGGCACCTAAAAAAGGGGTGAGGGATAAAGGTTTGGCTCCGAATGAAGATGAACGATACTGCGGCGCTGCGTTCCATTACTCCGAAATATTATAAAGGTACTTATTCTGGACTGATTATTAGCTAGCGACTTAGAATACCGCCTTCTGGCTCCGAATGAGGATGTGCGATAATCCCGCTGCTGTGTTCATGTTTCCGAATAATATTAAGAGTAATTTCCGAACTGATGGAATATCGGCTTCAGGTTCCGACTGCTGATGTGCGAAGTATTATAACGAGATTGTTCCGGAATAATAGAATATCGACTTTTGGCTTAGATCCATGATGTGCGGTTACCCGGGAGTTGTTTTCCTGTTTTCGACGGATAAAGAGACCGTTCTGAACTGATGTTTAGCTTGACGGAGAGGACGTCTTCCCTCTATGAACAATAACGATTAGTATTAAAAACTGTAAGTAACTGTGTTAGGAAGATTTATTTTAAGAACAATAACGATCAGTATTAAGAACGGTAGGTAACTGTGTTAATAAGGTTTATTTTAATTCATCTGCAGCCAGGCCTACTCTTTGTTATCATTCACCATCGCGTAAATTGCTTGTTTTAAATTTCTCATTCCCGTAATCTGCTCATGTAAATATCTTTCACTTTCTCCTAGTTGCAGAGTTGATTATGTAAATCTTAAATTTTGAATGCCAGTATGTTAATATTTATTCAAGAGTTTAGTTCTAAGAATATGATAAAGTCATTATTTGTGAGTTTATCATTAATTTGTTGGTATCGGTAATCGTTAATGTTAGTAATGCTAGGTGATAGCTTGTGGTAATACATTCAAAATATCAAAGGGAATTTTACTGCATAAGTTAACAAGGTAAATATTTAAAATTGATCCAGCAAATTTACAAAATATTTAATGTAGAAAAAATATAATTACTGTTCAACTTTTATTTTCTTTTTATTTAATTTTGTACACTTGCAGATTGTGCCTGAATTAACGGTAACTGTATATCAACTAAAACAATATAAGCTTGAATAAAAAGAATTAGAATTTGTCTCGCAAGTGTGTTTTGCCCAATTCCTAATTAGAGGCATCAAGAGTAAAGAAACGACGTTTAATTATTTGGTTTCCCAAAGTAGAATCTAGATTTATGGAGAACACCTGGGATATCGTAAAAGACTCTACGAGCAACAAATACTCGTTTGCTGAGGAAAGATTACTCAACGCTTTTAAAGAAAGTGAAAATAACCGCATTAAACGTCTGCTCACCGAGTTGGAACCTGGCGACATGAAACCCAGGCAGTTTCTTCTCAGAATGAAATATCTGGGAGTAGATATGCCGGAGACTATGTTACAATCTCTCTGGCTGGAAAAGGTGCCAGACGTTGTGAAACACATCCTAGTAGTTAGCGATGAGACTTTGGACAAATTTACCGCAACAGAGGATAAAATTGTGGAGCTAAACTTACACCAGTAACTGTCTGCTGGAATACAATGAAGGGAGAGCTAAAGCAGAAAATAACTTCATTATAGCTCTAAATTGACAGTATGACTGCCTAGGGCTCCTTATTATGGGCTTGCAACTTCAGTAGAAACTGCAATATACCTTCAAGGTCAAGAAAGAAATTTGATGAAGAGACTAAAAATTTCAAATTTGGCGACAAGTGTTATCCTGAAAAATGCAAGCAACCCTGTGAGTGGAAAGAGTCGGGAAACGTAAGTCAGATGTGGACTATGCAGACAGTTCTGCTGCAAGGAATTATAATTATCACAAATATATGTCACCCATAAAAAATCAAGAGTACGGTTTTTAATGGGGCAGCGGAGCAACACGCGCGCTCATATGAGTTACAAGAACGCACGCACTGAACCCAATAGAACCGTTTCGTGTTTTTTGAAGAAAAAATTGTCAGTCTTCAGAAAACGTGTTACATCTAAGCCAATAATAAATTTTATGATCAAACTTAAAAAATATGCTGATTAAAAGTTTTAATTTCTCCAAATACTTTTATGAAAGAAAATTTCTCAAAGGAATAGAAAATCGTATTATATATTAGCATAGGAAAATAGTAGTGTACCTTTATTCTGTATCGAATATTTATTTTCTTTATTAGCACTACAGACACAGAGAAAAAATGCAATAAGTGTTAGTAGCATATTGAATAAAGTGTTGTCGTGTGTTCCAAATACAAATATTTTTCACATTCGGTGCAGCGCGTTTTCGTGTTTCTTTGCTTTTCTTTGGAAAAACATTGCGTCTTTTTCTCTTTTCTTTCTCTTTTGCTTTTCTTCTCTCTCTCTCTTTTTTTTTTTTTTTTTTGTTTTTGTTTTGCATAATTTTTTTACCGATAAAACAGTTTATATCATTCACACTCTCGTTTTCAGAATCTATATCAGTTTCTGAATTAGTATCATGTGAATTAAAATTTCATGATCACTCTCATCCTTATTTTCTTCAATACATTCTTTGCAAGTTGAAACACCTGATAACTTTGCAACATTTCTTCCTTGAAAGATAAGTTACGCGACATGTTTGCCACTTTCTTTACCATCATAAATCACGTACATAATAGGAATACAGATAGGCGCGCTGAGTCTAAAAGACCCGATTCGATCAAAATCAAGACTTTGAATCAAACTCTCAGCAAAGAAATTTCGGAAACATAAAGAGATCGACCTCAGACACGTTTAAACTGGACCTCAACAACTTGCGTAAAATAGGCGTGCTTTGAGAAAGGTTTTATTCGCACGCTTGCGGGTTAAATAGTGGTGTCATTGGGTCTCATTTTCGTAATCATTTTCACCTACTCATTGATATTCATAATAGAAAACTGATTGATGGTTTTACACAGTTATCCGTAAAGCTTGCAGTTAGAGGTATCTTATCAAATGAACATATTTTCAGGGTATTAATTCTGAATAATAACCTTAAATCAAAGTTTTAAGAACCACATATTTAAGCCATACCCAGATTTAAGTTAGCCATATGTTTCTAATACCTCACGTAAACGTGATGTGAAACATTACATAACAGCCAAAGTGGTACCTGGACATTCATAGCACGTCCAATCGATTCTGATAAACTTGCTTTACACAAGCAGGAATTTTAGTTCATGTTAGAGAAGGCTATCATTAGGCCATCGAAATCTCAATGGGCTAGTCCCCTACATTTAATCGGTAAAAAGTATGGAAGATTTAGAATTTGTGGTGATTATAGACGGTTAAATAAGCAAACCATGTCTGACCGTTACCCGATTTTCAGAATCGAGGACTTTTATCTTGGAAAAGTTACACTCTCAGAGAAATCGCTGAAGGCGCAAACCAAATAAATATTAATACCGTAATTACCTCTTTAAGGTGTTATTTCTTAATGTGAATTAAAGGATTATAAAATGTAAA